GCACATAGATCTATTTCCCCATCCTCATATAAAAATATATTTACATATGTACATGCCTTTATCTAGACCTCTATAAATGCCCTGTGCCTCCTTGCTCATTCCTCTATTTCTCTTGACTTTCCTCCTGTTCCACTATCATGCTGTTCCACTATCATGCTCAGTCCCTACCAGAGTTTAAGCAATTCCTCTTTATTACATTACCCTTGATCATGCCCTACCAGGCCTCCCACACCCACCTCATCACCAATTTGGATTACTTGTTGTTCCCCTGTCTCTGGGTTTGTTACACCACCACCTTTCCCCCATCTCCCCCTCTCCCATGCCCCCCCCCAACTGTCGTTCCCATTGTTTTCTCCTCCAGATTGTTCATCCAGCCTATTTTAAGTTAGACAGACCTGCAGAGATAATAACATACACAAAAACAAGACAGAGCAAAACCAAGCAACAAAATAAAAGAAAATAACAATAACAACAAGCCAATGACAAAAAACAAAACACAACAACAAGAAAGAAGAGCTTGTAGTTAGTTCAAGGACTGTTTGTTGGCCTTTGGGAGTGTTTTCCAGTCGAGTCTGTTGGAGCGTCAAGCCCTGGCTCCAAAGTCTATTTTTGGTATTCCCTGGGGACTTTGTTGCTCTGTTCCCCTTGCTGTTCTGTCCCACGCCCTTAGTGTTTTGCCTCGGTGTGGTAGAATCAGATCGGGCAGAATTCCCTCACTGTGTCTCCAGTGTTGTCCCCTGTAGGGCTATGGGTCTGAGGGAGGGCGTGTCTCATAGTGGGGCGGGCCATGTGGTCTTCTCTGTGGATTGGCTGCTCTGAGCCGGTATATTGTCCTCAAGGCCTGGTGGGCAAGGACGTGCTCCACTCTCTCTTCCTCCCCCTTAATTTACACCCATGTGCTCTTATCAGACATGTCCCTCTCCCGGAGCTGCAGATTCAGTGTTGTCCTCTGAAATAAATTCTTCTGGGGGGAGGGGAAGGTGAGACTAACTCTTGACAGGTGTAGAAAGCCTCATCTTTCTCCCCTCATACAGAAATATACCTACCCATATATACAAATATATATGTATGTATTTGTATATATAGGTATACATGTATACATACAAATATATGTATTAATATGTACTAATATATACTTATAAACATATGAATGTAATATATGATGGTTTTGAGCACTTGAAATCTGGCTAGTCAAAATCAAGATGGCCTGTGACTATAAAATGTAATATACATTTATGTATGCATTTATAATTACGCGTGTATATATTTGTCTCTCTGCCCCAGGCTGTTTGATTAGACTTTAGTCAAAAGCTAATTATGCCCTAAAACTTCCCTGATCCCAGCAAAGATGTCTCCTTTTGAACATCCAGATAATTTTCTTAATGCACTTTTCATATATTTGCATTTTTCACATAGAAGTGGAGCTTCAAAAAGATTTTGGGAAGATGGAGTTCAAAGAGAATGGCATTTTCCCACACTTTTTGAAGTCCCTTGTACATGTGTGAAGAAGCCTGGTCGTGTAGTAGTCACATGTTGGACAATGATCTGCAAGGTCAGCAGTTTGAAACCACTGGCAGCTGCACAGGAGAAAGAGTGGAGTTTCTTCTCTCGTAAACGGTTACAGTCTTAGAATTTCCCAGGGGCTCTCTTTGAGTCAGCATTGACTCAATGGCAGTGAGTTTGCTTTCTTTGGTTTTGGTGCATGTTTATTATGCCTAGACATTGTACTAGGAAACGGATAACTGACATTTGTTGAGAGCTTCCTACATCTTGGGCATTGTTGTAAGCATCTTAATTAAGTCTCAGAACATCACGAGTATTATCTTACTTATTCCCTTT